TTCTTCATAGCGATTGGTTATATATAGTGCATGTCATGTCTCAACCATTATTTCCTCGCCTCTTCATTATACACAAAACGCTTGCAAACATTGAGGGTATTATCGTCTTTATTCTGAAGAGTTTCTAAAACAGTTTATATATAGAAGTCAAGTCATAATCCTCTGTCATTTTTCCACTGACTGTAATTCATCGATCGATTTGATTTGAACGATTGTCAAATGCATTATTTTTAATCCTAGCTAACAGATCTGAAACATCATCTTGCATCTGATCTTCTGAAATTCATTAGATTTCTGCTTTCAGCATAATATTCGGTTGACAATACAGCGGCAATGTTTTTTTTAACCTCTTCATTGAGAATTCCATTCATGTCATTCATAATGCTACAGAAATATAAAATCCAGTAAACATTAATAATAATTAAATATTATTATAATAACTATATGATGTACTTACGAGTTCATTTTTTTTAACTGTTAAGGGTTTCAAACTACAAACTTATTAAACAACTTTATAAAACACGCTTTGATGTTTCTTTAATGTCAGCATGAGGCACCATCTTGAATTTTATTGTTAGAGAGTCCTACCTATAGATGTCCTTGTCATCCTATTAGTGTTGACACTCACTAGGCAGCAAAATTCATTAACTCACAGCATTTACATGAATCACAATGTTATTATTTTCATATTTGTTTCAACAATTTAAATTAAAGTTATATATTTTGTTCACTATTTAAATTAAAATTATGATTAATATACATTTGTAGAAAAAAAAACTTTGGTTAATTTCTATTTAAACATCCCGCCATCATGTCTTCAAAATCAAACTTCATAAACACACTTCTGGCAATACGAAACAAAAGTTTAAATATAAAAGTTTTGTACATAATTGAATTTATTAATTAACTTTTTTCATTCACTTTTATCTGCAAACTTTTATTTCCTAGTATTTTGCACGCATTTTAATATAATACAAATTTTTAATATAATTTTAAATATACATAAAAAATATTGAAAATTTATAAAAATTATATATAATTTCCATACCAAAAACTAAAAATTTAAAGATTCTACAGCTCCATTGTTTACTTCAGCATTTATCTATATTAACTATATAGTTAGGTGTTGAACTTATAACTTGTTTTATAAAACAATGTGTAATGTGCATCCACTGAGATTTAGATAAAATGTTAAAACAATATTTGTTTTGTGCTCACAAATGTGATGTGCATTGAGATTTAGATAAAATGTTAAAACAATATTTGTTTTGTGCCCACAAATGCGATGTGCATTGAGATTTAGATAAAACATCTAAACAACATGATATTTTGTCACATCGCGGACATCGCGACGGGATTTTTTTTCAAATGTTGTCAGCAACATCGCGTGTTTACTGGGAAAAATAAATGTACTTTAACAATAATGAGGATATCCTTGTGCAGAAGATAAAAAGAAAGAAGTTTTAAACTTGATTTTTTGTATAAGTTAAAGTTAAGGAAAACTGACAAATATTTGAAGTATTTTAATTAAAATGAACTAACACTTTTAATAATAGTATATAGATTGAAGTGAGTGAAATATGTAACTGTAAATATATAAATTAATATAACTAATACTAACTACAATTTGTGTTGATTCACATTTGTAAAACACTGAGAATTTTTCAAAAAAATTGACATTTTTAAAAACATTGAAATTTTTTATCTCGAATTTCTTTTTCGGAGCAATCACGCTACGCGTCTGTTTCAGAAAAAAAAATACCGAAGCGCGTAAGAGCCGCGACGCAGTTTCACGGATAAACTTTAGAAATATTAATAAAATGTATACTTTATTATTAAAATCTCTAAAATATAAGATAATTTGATGTAACGGTTTTCTCTCTCAAAATAGCCAACGAACATTTAACCACATTGGCTTATTGTCACAGCAGGGATGTCGATAGGGATTTATATAGAATATTCTCACATCACGTGCTTACTGGGTTGTGCACAAAGATTAATGTTTCATATTATATATTGACGATGATTTTAAAGCAAACTGAATTGCTGTAGATCATATGATGTAGAAAAATTGAAACAAATTAGTTATAAACATTTTGTCTAAATATCTCATTTACATTGGAAGAACAATTCAAACTTACAAGATACAATAAATAAATAAATGCATACGAATTTTAGAAGTGCAACTTTTAGAAACTTATACAGATTATTTAATTTAGTGCAAATAGAATTGCAAACTGGCGAAAATTCTATTTGTTTGAAACAAAGTATTTAAAAGGCACAATAGTTTTTTTTAATAAACATAAGAATCAGTTGCAAGTCTTTATGAATATCCGATAGGAGTAAGATTATATTATCTTATTTACAAAAGTATACAGAGTTGCTGTACGTTGTTTATGATATTAGAGGGGATAGTATAATACTTTATTTTGAACGCATTTATATACTTTAGACAAACGGTTTAAATGTTAAAGAGGCGAAATAAATATTTAATTTTAAAATTAATATTATTATTTGAATAATGCACATTATACTATAAACATTGTCTTTTATGAAAATGTAATTATTTAAAAGCAAAAAGTATATTATTCAATTTTTACTTAACCATCATTTGGTGCAGTGATTAATTAAAAATAACAATATTGGTTACGTAATATGCCAATTTAATTTAATATAATAACATGATCGTAACTTTCGGAAGCCTGGGCATTATTTGTCCATGGTCAACAAATTTCCACATAATGATTCTGGGCAAGATTTACTTCTTTGTCGAAGAAATTTTGCATAGGAATTGCAATCATCATCTTCATTCACATACAAGCCCTCAGGAGTTGAGGGATGTTTTATATAATCCTGAGGAGACAATCTCACTTATGTGAGGACATATTACTATTGTTACCTAAAAACAATAAACATATACTTGAATAAATATAAGAAACTAAAGTATAAATTAATACTGCTATAGATGTAAATATAGACTAGTGGCGCATGGCATTGTGGTTTAAGGCTCATTTGAATTGATTGCTTTGTTCTCTCACTGCTATTTTTCACACTTCTAGCTCTTTGTCTCTGAAACAGTTGGGCCTGTCTTTGCCAAAATTTAATCACTATGTCTTCTGATCATTACGAATTAAATGTCTTTGCACTCATTGTATTTTAAAAAAGAACTGGACCGACCTTTCCCAAAGACTAATAGGAACCTAATGTTTTTTGAATCATTCAAAACATTTGAGCGGTGCTCCCGAAAACGTCGATAAAAAATTGTATCAACAAACATAAAAAATATGGATGTGTGCATATTTTTTAAAGTACGCCAAAATGCTCCGAATCAATTATTTTCCTAAGTTTCAAAATTTCCGAATAAAATAAATGATCTCAAACAATATTTTGAAGAATTACATGAAAAAATATAAAATTAAAAATAATTTATTTTTAAAATAAATTTTCTAATATACATTATTCTGTGATGTGAGATGTTTATCAGTAATGATCTGAACTACATTCTAATATACATATCATCTAATCATCAATACATTATCTTTCATAGTTTAAGTTATTAATAATTGCCATTGCCATTAATATCCTTTCTGCAGGATCTTCATTGTGCAAAATTCATTATTTATACCAAAGTTCAGTCTTACAATATATATTGTAAACATATTATTGAATAACTGCTATTGTAATTATTATACTATAGCGATTGATGTTGTCTTGAACCATGCAATATTTAACATAAACAAACAAAATCTAGTTTTTTTCTATATGTACAAACATTAATCTAATGAGCATACAATAATACCCATTATAGTTCAAATTTTTATATACATTGTCCACTAATATAAAAAAATTGTATATTACAACTCTCTACATGACAAAACCATACAAATAGATAACATTTACAAAAACAATTAATCAATAACATATAGGCTATTATATAAAAAAGATATATCCCTTATTCAAATTATCCCAACTTAAAATTTAAGGATAAAATGCATCTTCAATATAATAGTAAGAATTATACCATGTTTGATTGGTAGCGCTCTCATACTGAAAACAACTTAACAAAACCTTTTAAAGTTCAAATTGATTGCTTATTATCTAATTATTTTAGTATGAGAGCAATTATCATATTAAATACTCATTGGTTAATAACAAAAATACTGCTAAGTAATTTATCAAATTTTAGCTGATTTTTGCCCCAAAAATAGAATAAGTAGTAATTGTGTGAATTGCACACTATTTGAATATAAATATTTCATAAATAATGTTAGTATTGAAATAAAAACCTAATAAAACAGATATATATATATATATATATATATATATATATATATATATATATATATATATATATATATATTAATTTAGAAATATGAACAAACAACTTTTTCTTGCACTAATTTATTAAATAATAATTTTACATTCGTTTCGAGACTAGGTTTGTCCCATCATCAGCGTGTTATGATTTAAAATCTAAAATATAGAAATCTAAATTAGCATTATGTGCCATCCGTTACAAGTCGTTCCTTCTACCTTATAACACACTGATGATGAGGCAAACCTAGTCTCGAAACATTTGTAAAGCTGTTATTTAATAAATAAGTGCAAAAAAGAGTGTTGTTTGTTCATATTTCTAAATGAATATATATATATATATATATATATATATATATACACAGCAAAATGAATTTCTATGAACATATTACTTAAAAAATTAACATTAATACTGCCAAAGAGAGCACAACTTTCGTCTCTTTAAAGTGAGTTAGAAGTGCAACCAAAAATGTTTTTGAATCACAAATCGAATCTAATGCACTATCAACACAAACTTTTCTGTATGAAAGAATTATTAATAAAGGCATGTTTTTGTGATACTTAAGTTTCTCTAATAATTAGAATAAAAATGAATCATATACACAGTTTTATACCTCTCTCTACTGTAGGATAAGCATATACTCTTCTTTTGTCTATGGATAAGCATATCTATAGTCCTCTTACCACTATGAGGCATACATTCTGTTGATATCTCCTTGATAACGTTCTTGAATATCCTTTCGTTTTAATTTAAATGCAGCTGTCACAAGACCCATGTCTGGGCTCCAGACTTCTGTGCATAATTTTACAGCTGCAGGCACTTCAAACTTTTCCAATTTACCTGCAATCAAATATTACAAGTTAAAAATGATCACCTTAAAAAATCTTATCATTGCTGATTGCTGAAAAACATCTATTAATCTGAACTCCTTATATCAAAATAATGTATTTTATTAAAATTAACTTAATTATTTAAATTTGTTTAGAGAACTTGCATTTCTTTCCATGTTCTGCTAATTCCTTAACCACTGCCCTCTCAATAGCTGGGCTAGTGCAAAGCTCTTCGAACTCCATTCCATCTCCGCCTTCTAAACCAGATCTCAAAGCCAAATCTTGCAATTGTTTGGGATTAGGTACAACCAAAGCAACTGTATACTGTTTGGTAGAGTCCCCATATACGCAAATATTTTCTACAACTGGGCATGTTTTCAATTCTGCCTCTACTTTGCCTAAAGAAACATATTCACCAGCTTGAAGCTTGACCAAATCTTTCTTGCGATCTGAAAATTTAATAATAAGTTATAGTTTGAACCAACCAAAATTATTTCCTAAATTGGATATAATTAATACGCTGTAATTTCTACTTAAAACCAAAATATTCTCACCAATAATTTTTAAAACGCCATCAGCATGGAATTCACCAATATCACCAGTCTTAAACCATCTCTTCCCTTCTTCATCATAGAAATCTTCTTGTGTCTTTCCAGGAAGTTTGTAGTAACCTTCCGAAACATTTTCCCCACCTATGACAATTTCGCCCTGCAAATAAAGAAAATAATTACATTACATGTTTGAAAAAAAAAATACCGCCATAACTTTGATGTACCTGAGGATGAGGTTTATTTGTGACTCTGTAATTGCCATCAATCCAATTTATTAATTTTATATCACACATTGTGGTTGGTGCACCTGCTCTGCCCATGCTCATATCATATTCTGAAATAACAAAAATTAAAATATACAATACACATGCAGTAGTACCCCGACTTACGAATGACCCGACATACGAGCCGCTACAGGAGCGGTTTGTTGCTTCGACATACTAGCGAAAACTTGTGATACGAGCTTCGAGAGAGTAAGAGTTTTCTTGAAAAATGTTAATAAACATATAAAATTTCTTGAAACAATGATTTCCCTGTCATAGAAATATTTTGGTTGTTTTATGATGGTAAATTATTTTATGGTCAGTCATTTAAATTATATATTAACATATATGAATTGTGCAGTACCGATTTGCCCATAAAAAAAGTTTTGACTATACATTAATAGTTATTAATAGCTAGCAGATTAACAGTAATTAATATTAATGTACAGTACAGTAGTTTACAAAAAGTTTTAGTTTACAAAATAATATTTACTTTTATAGCCATTAGTAATCAATATGGTAAATTTATTTTTAATATTCAAACAACTTAACAAAAAACAGTGTTGGAACGCATTAATGGCATTTCAATGTATTTATATGAGAAAAAATGCTTTGAGATTCGTGAGATTCAACATTTTGTATGTCGCAGTGTCACTATATATGATTAGGCTATATTACTTGAAAATTTTTCTTTCATGCTCAATGAAATATTTACTAAGTTATTTGTAATAAAATTATGTGTTAATTCATAGCAAGTTAATAATAACTTACTGTCCATAACAGTAGCACAAGAAGTAGTTTCTGTAAGTCCATATCCTTGAATAACATTTGCACATAAAATATTTTTTATCTGTTCATGAGTATCTGGTGATAGAGGGGCGCCTCCAGATAAAATTAAGCGTACACGACCTCCCAAAAGTGAAGTGACTTTGCTAAATATCAATCTGCAGTCCAAGAAATTAATATAATTAAAATTAGAACATTATGAGAATTAAATTGATAAAAATAAATTCGAATTATAATAAAAATAGTGAAATGAAGATATGATCATAATGATGTATCATATATATGCATTGTGAATTTTTAGATTATAATTTTGTGAATATACTTTTGCATTTTGCAAAATGATAATTCAAATTCTTGAAACTTTGTTGAATACTAACTTGTCAACAATTGGAGTTGAATAGCCTCGTCGAACCCATTTACTCTTATAATCGTATGCAAATCTGAATAAACTTTTTGCAAATGAACTATTTTTATTGACTTTTTCTGCTATGCCTTTTGATATCCTGTCCAGAATTAATGGAACCGCAGTCATACAAGTTGGATGCAAAACACTGGCATCTCCTGAAAATATTTAAAATAACATTTTTACATATTAAATTTAAGTTTTGATTTATATCAATGAACATAGCTTTGAAACATTTTTGACAAAAGTAAAGAGTTGCAATAAAATTAGCATTTTGTTTTAAGGCAAGTTGCTATTTAGCTAAAATGGTCAACTGTTTATTTCGAAAATAACATTTTTGCCTTCACTAAAATATAATAATAAATACGATTTCCAATTAATATCTTTCAAATTGTCATTCTTATAATAGCTGTAATTGTATAAATGAAATTAATTTGTGTACCACATTTCATTTCAAGTAATTTGGGTTCTAAAAATGTATTTTATGTAAGTGTAGACGCCAACGGTAATTAGTAGATATATCTGCAAAACACCCAAAAATGTACTCGTGAAGTCAAAAAATGACTTGCATACCCGCGCATACGCACACGCTTTCTTCAAATTTGGTTATATTCGATTCAGAACGACTTGAAACGTCGAGAAAACAAAAAAAAAAGCAAATAGATTTTTTCCCCGAAAACAAACTACTCCATAGGGAATTTAATAAATATGTGGATGATTTATGGTTCAAGCAAGTACTCAAATTTCGAATCAATGAATTTTAACAACAATTATATAAATGAAAAAATGTTAGATATAAAAAATGAAAGAATATGATATATCTAAATCATAGACAAAAATATTATGTATTAACCTTACCTTTAGTGCCTCTCTTGATTTTACTACTCGAGTCAATCATAGTCAATGGAGTTGAATATCCAATTGGTACACCAGTTAAAAGACAGACGGATTCCGCCAAAAGTTCGAATACATGTGCCAGAGGTAGAAAACCAAGTAATACATCATCAGGATAAATATCGACCACATCACAAAAGGCCTGGATAATTCATAAACAAAAATTATTATAACTGAAATATTGACATAGTTATAAATTAAATTATTGCAATAAACATATTGATTCCAACAATTTGTTATACCTTAATAGTAGCAATTAAATTTCCGTGTGAAAGTATGACACCTTTAGGCACACCAGTAGAACCAGATGTGTACATGATAATTGCAGTATCCTTTGTGTTTGGGCTACAGCATTCTGTAAATGTATAAAAAGTAATTGGTAATAATTAATATGAGTTTTAATTTATTTATGGAAATTTTATTTTTATTTATTGTGATCATTTATCTATCAGTAGCTTATAAATTTGCTGATAGCCTATTGAATAATTGAAATTAATCTGTTCTAGCTATCAAAGATTTAATTATAGAGGTTATTGTTAATCACAATTCGTAGATCATTCGTCATTTACCTTGGTTCCTATACATTAAAATGAAAAACACGTAGTATCTATACATTAAAATTAAAAAAACACTTAATAGGTTTATTTCTCAGTAAACAGTAAATAGTAATCCAGATTACTAGATGACCAGCTTTAGATAAAAAGCTGTTTGTTTATGTTCTATTTACCATGAGTACTTTGTGATCCAAGCTTGACAACTTCAGTATATGAGATTATATTAGTATTTTCCTTATAGCCGGTCGTATCAGTTGGTTTTAACTGATCTTCCATATATATCAGTGTTTTGACTTTGGGAGTTTTAGCTAGCAGCTTTTTGAACTTTGGCAATAAATCATGCGTGGTTATCACAGTAGTAACTTCCGTTTCATTAATTCCGTGAATGATTGCTTCGTCACCCAGAGTTGCATAGATTGTGACAACTGTAGAATAGATTTTTTATGAATTTCTTTTGGATTAAATATAACTAAAACAAAAAAAAAATATTCTCTCTCAAGAACAACTAGGGTTTTAATTAACTTGAAATGCAATTCTTTGGAATATCAAATATACATATATAGTACACCATACATAATTGAACTATTAAATTATATTTTAATCTGGCATTATATAAGTAAATAATTGGCATGTGCATCATGATAGTATAAACGCTAAATTATTTAATTAATTTGTGTAAAACTTTATTCATTTTTTTTATTTGACTCGAATCAAAACATATTCCTTCCCAATCTCTTCCACATTTCAGTCATTTTTTCACTAAAATTTATATCTCGCGAGTTGCATGTCCAATTTGACTCAAAAAATTTACCGGCTCTAAAATCAAAACCGAAGTTGCATTCAGATTTTTAAGTTGTGAATTATAAATATACTTACCAGGAATGCTTTGCTTAAAACAACCATGTGCAGATATCATCCATTCCGCTCTTGTTTCAGCAAAAATAACGACATTTTCCCGTGGTTTGTTTCCTAATTCTCTCAAACCTTTGCCAAAAGATGTAGCGAGGTGATCCACTTCACTGAAACTTTTCCATTTATAATCACCCATATTATACTGAAATAAAGTTTATCACAATTATAAAAAATATTGTATTTTTCCAAAATTAGAACATTTATTAAATTTCTAGGAATGAAGCAAACATTTTTTAAACACCATTAGCACTTTACGTTATAATCGTTAGAACGTATTAAAAATATAATCCAAAACTATTCTTACCTGGTGGTATATAAACTGCATTACGAATTGCTTAGTTGTTTTGAATTTAAAATAACAAATAAGTGTTATCATAACTAACATAATTGACTAAATTGAGATATTGCGTATTGGGTATGTACTATTCGAAGTCGGATGATAAAAAAAGAAAACTAGTAATAAATGAAGAGTGCAAATATTATTTAGTTACCTTCTTGAAAACTCGGCCGTTGGGTTGCGTTTCATCCTCTTCGCCCAAAATTTCTCTAGTACCTAAACATCTTTTATTACCATGCGTCTTTGCAACAAATTTAAACATTTTTTCTAAAGTGTCCACTCCTTCCCGGAGCAGCCGAACATGATGTGACCTGGGCTCTCCCACTGCTCTGTATGTGACACTATTTTCATCCATGTGCACTTGTTTTGCCTAATAAAAAATCAAATATAACAGTGATGAAAATATTAGAATACCGGAAAATATTTTGCATAATAATTGAGAAAAATGAGAAAATATTTCTCTCAAAGTATTCAGAGAAATATGCATTTGTCATAAACAGAAACTACGTAGACTACTCTACAAATCAGATAACATCGCTATTACAAAGTACATATTTAAAAAAAAAATCCAGAGTGAAATTTTTATTAGTATTAGAATACACGTTCAAGCAAAATGTCGATTTGGATTATTAATTTAAAAAAATAAACCACGCGAAAATGGTCAATTTAAACATTTGTGCTATTATATTGTGGCGATATAATCTCATTCTTTGAACAGCTGTAATATCTATCTTGCCTAAAAAATCTTTTCCATTTTAATAATTTTCAAGGAACAGGGTAAAATATTCTTCTGATTCAGGCATTTTTCATTAAATCAAGATTTGTACTACGATGTAACTTTAAAATGTTTATTTATCAATGAAAATTTCCTTGTTGATATCGGTACGTGTACAACGACAGATCTTTATTCACATACACGACGACTAATCACAATCGACCCGTATTGAAATGATTTCATCGAGAGCGAATGACGTACAGTTCTATCGTAACGCATTTCCGTTGCATTTGTACGGATTTACACCCTAGTTGCGCCTAAAGAAGTTTTACTTCAAAAAAAAAAAAACATGTATATATGACATCATTAGCCGCGAGATGTAAGTTTAAACTTTACAAAATTTTTGCCAAATGTTGATAATTAAACATGTACTTTACTTTTTATTATTATTTTATATTTAATTGATAAATGTGCCTAAGTAACATGTGATTTTACTTCAAATATTTTATAATAAACTTAGCACAGTTAAAAAATTATAAGAACAAATCTATATCTAGTAAATAGTGGGTCCATGACGAAGTCCAAGGAGTCCACGTCACAAAAAAGTTTGGAAACCTATGACATATACTACTAACAAGTTAATATTATTTCTCCCTTTCGTTTACCTTTGGCCTTTTGGCGAGTTGCCTTTGTTTCCATGGTTGTTGAAGAACCAAATATACTGGAAATGTTATTATATCACAAACCAGTGCCAATGCCTTGAGGGCACCCATGGCGGAAGACACCCACACGGAGTCCATGCTAAAATTCATAAAATATATGTTTGATTAATTTGACATTACGATGATTTCCTTAGTCATGAGACAGACATTTAGTAATATTAGCTTTGAGAGCAATAACGATGTGCCTCTAATTAGCAGATTTTTAAAGAGACAAAGTACTCATGAATTGCGCATGAATACTAATTTAATAATTTGTTAGTTTTAAGTAAACAAGCGTTAAATCTTAGTAGAATATCATAACGTGATCGGGCTGAAAAGTAGTGTTATTGTCGTTCTAACATTCTTAGACAACCAATTATTATGCATTTGCTATTTTTGTGCAAATAAAATTACAAAAATAAAAATTGTTTGTCACATCATTAATGTTTGTAATCAAGCAAAATGTATAGTGAATTCAGCATTATTGTAGAATAAATACAATATGCAATAAGTTTAATCAATTAAATTGAGTGTCAACTTCTCTCAATTTATATTTAAATATCAACTTCTCTGCCATTATTCCATTTTGTTTAAAAATATACATATAATACCTATAGCAATTAACGTTATTATTTAATACTATTAAATATCAGTAAAGCAAAATAAATTTAAATGTTACATTGGCAATTGCTGCGACGTTTATTTAATTGGTAAAGATAAGAATGCTCATTAATATGAAAAACCTGGCAACTTTAAACATTGATTAGATTAAATTCTGCATAAACACAATCAATACGTAAACATTAGAAATAAATATTCAATATGTTTTCACGTATACGGCGAGCGGCGATATTAATTGGAAATAACTTAAAATATCAGCTTTAATATATAACATGTGCATATGCATTAAATTATATTATATTTGTTTTATTAATATTATTACTAAAATTATTTTTGCAATTACATTATTTAGATCTCATATATTTGTTTACAATGTTTCAAAGATGTACGAACTTTTAAGAATTTAAACTTTTTGCAGCATAGCGTTAGTGCATCGATTTCTGCGCAGTTATACGAAAATCTTACAGAAACTTACAGAAATAGTAAAATTTTTGCGCACAAAAAGACTTTTTTTTAATAAATTATAAAATTAATTAAAAGTAAAAGCTTTAAGATTACTCGATCTACACATTTTAAATTTTTATTTGGCAAGCGTAGCCCATAGGTCTGTGATTGAAACAAACAAGAGTTATAAAAATCGTGGAATTTGATTAAATGAAAACGAAAATATTTTAATCAGCAAATTTAACTGCTGTAATTGCAATTGAAGGTAATAGTAAATTCAACCATCCGATACAGTCACGAAAGACATAATAAGTATACGTTCATTCATTTTATATAATAGTAACTACAAATTTATATTTAGCAAATAAATTTTCATAACCATTTACATGCGAACAATTTTATCGTAAGCAGCTTGATTTTTTAATCAAAAACGGTAAAATAATACGTGTTTGTAATTGCTATTGAAATTATCTTTCAATAAATTGACGAAATTGAAGCAAGTCTCAAAAGTATAAAAAACTAATCGAAAAATTACACACATTTCATCTTTATATTAAAAAAAAAGCAAAATAGAGAATTTTATTCAGAATTATGTATTAGCTTAACTGAAGTCACAACTAAAATGATAAATGAAATCTGATATGAAAATCTGAAAAAAATGAGATAGCAAAAGTAAGAAAAAATCACCAAAAACGAACTGAAAATAACGACTTAAAAAATAAAATTGAAAAACAACACTTTTTTATTTTGTCGCACAATTTCAATTTGTTGGAAGTTCGATTTTCATAATAGCACTAAAAATAATGTAAAATTATATGCCAAAAGCGTGATATTCTCTTTAAACCCATATTTTCAAATTTTGGATATAAATATTATATGAAAATAAGGCTCGATTTTTTACTTTGATATCGTCTAGCAATTGCAAATATATTAAATGTGTAACATACTTGACCATTATATAACTATTTCCAAAAATAACGCACGCAATATAAAAATCACTAATCACTCATATCACTGACTACCTACTGAAATGGTCACTATTTCAGATGAGTATCCAGGTTGCCTTATCATAAGTGTTTAATTATCTCAATAAGATAAAAAAAGCCTTCCTATTCTATCTAATCGTTTGAATGTTTGAACTTTGGATCTGAAATCAGAAACCTTACTCGTAAATAGAAACACATAAGATTTATAAACATGATCCCGAAGTATTTAGTTTAAAGACTATATGCACTTCATTCATAATACCTGTACATTCATTGAAATACAATTCATTGAAATAAAGGTAAACTGCTTATTTGCCTTTTGAATAAATATGTAAATATGTACCTAATTTAATTATATAAATTCTGCATTGTATATCAAATTACATACAATTGTAAAGCATTAACAAAAACTATATTAGGTAGCAGTAATATGTTTAAAAGATCTTGGACTTTTCTACGTATAATTTTGATAATCTTGTATATTAAAATAATATTTAATATAAAATATATTATATCATTCGTTGATACCAAACATATTAAAGTCAGTAATTCTAACAATAATACAACATAAATTTATTTCTTTTGTTTTAGAGTGCACATACCACTCACCACAGTGCACTCTTTTTGAAACTTTATTATAAGTTGAGATGTAAATATGAAGTAGGTAGAGTAAGTATTCATAAATTTTTTTATGTTCATACGTTTCATCTAATATTCGAAAGTACAATGACAAACAAAAACTTATGTGCTTAGATATACATGCATAAAAAACATTTAGGTACAACATATAGAAGGAACAAGGATTGTTTCCGACATTTGTATGTACTATTGTTTGAATAAAACTTTTACCAAAATTGAGAAAAAATTACTTAATCATAATTTAGGTCGCGCTCCTAATCAATATTAATACTAATAACAACGCATATGCATGCAAATAAATTTATCTAAATTATGTGCAGCTGGAAGCACAAGCGATGCCTAGTTGAAATTTCGATTTTATTGGTAATCATATAATTTCTATTACTAATTCTTCATAGATTAAGTAAAAATAAAAACTAAAAAGGTAAATTCGTAAGTATTTTCGAAATAATAGAGATTACATCACCCTTCATAAAAAGTCACAGTCTTGAATTTAGCCAAGATACATTTTTCTTATCGCCTATAGTACTACTACTACTAGTTTCTGTACCAATTTTATCAAAATAAAAATGCAGGTGTTAATCTGTTCTACGTGTAATGCAATGATAATTATGAGACAAAAGGAGAGACACTTTATAAAAAAATTAAAATTGTTTCAATCGAAAAAATTGAAACTCTCAACGGCCATTAATTTCAAGAAATGTTTACTTTGGCTCTTATTCTATTGCAAAAAGTTTCTCGGAAAAAGTTGTAGTGTACAGTTTGCGAACACACAACAAAACTGTTGTGATTGCTATTATGTACTATACTAATCAATTGTTTATATAATTTCGAATGTAAGCCATGCAATTAACACTATATTTGAACAACATCAATTCTACCAAGCGTATTTCAAACCAGGCTAAAACTTGATCGTGTAAAACTATTATATTTTTATAATTGCACTTAATTTTCACTTATTTTAGCATATATTTATATAGTTTGTATGATGTATATTATTCCAAGCAATGTATCAAACGTGCTATATCTTTTCATAGCAAATTATGTACAAAGACTGAATTCCATTTCTCAATGTGGATCAGACAGGAAAATCATTACAAACTGTTTGCAATACCGACATTGTTCGCAATTTCAATATTATTCTACAAAAGCAAAATGTGTGTCTTATAAATAATGCATACATTGTGACGATTCGATTATCAATTTTTGTGGCGAAAAAGCTGACATAACAAAATTTCATTCGCCAGAAGACAATGCTTTTAAGATTGAATCAAACATATACTTTATAAGACAATGAAACCGTCACGTGAATGAAAACAATTTATGAACATGCAAATACATGAATATATGAAAAATGAAAAGAACTCACTTGGCTGGATCGTCCACGAACATGATTCAAATTTATTTTATAACTGCTGAAAAAATACACAAATATATGTTAGAACAAACCCTTCAAACAATGAAATACATAGCATTACACCAATGAATAATATAAATGCATATATGTTACGAAAAACTACATGAAACAACTGAACGGATACAATATATATGTGGCTGAAGAAATGAAATAATGTAAACGAAAAACGAATGAAAGTAAATTTATTGAGTACACAAAAACTATATTGACATTGGTCCATATTTTTAATATGGAAAATTAAATTATTTAAAAACTCTAAAGTAAATAAAAAAGTAAGAAAATGCTAATGAACGAAAGTAATTTAAGTCTAGACTTTGTCTTATAAATAATACGACGTACACACGCACATACACACACACACACACACACACACACATATATATATATATATATATATATATATATATATTTATATACGCTCATTTATACATACATTTATTTGTACATACATACTTTACATACACATACGTCATCATATACACTTATATTTTAAAATGCGGAGGATGTAAAATAAAAATTTAAATTTTGCGGTTTCCATTTCCATTCACATCACCTCATTTTTACCATGGTTAGAAATTTATAAACAATATATTTCCGTTTTCTTAATTCAGTAGCAATGTGAAATGTTTACTTTGATACTTAAAGGTATCTCTTAAAAATATTATTATTAAAAAACGTAAGACAGTCAACTATGTCACCATAGTTTCGCTTAAATTGTCATTTAAAAATTGCATTTTAAAAAAATATTTTTAATTTGCCTCCCTTACTCGAGCATTTATTTAGCCACTTACATTATTCTATACAATCTTCAATTTCATACTATCTTCTTCTTCATATAATCCTTTTTCTATACTTCTTATCTTATCTTTATTAAATTAAATAGAGAGCATTTAGTGCATAATTTTCTGATGATTTTGGTATGTTCAATTTATATCAAATTCGATATTATATTGATTTTATTCTATTTTTATAATCTTTAAGCTTCGGATTATAATATTTAGAAGGTTCATATAAGTTACGTAATTTTGAAAATATTTGTTTTTCACAATTTTTAATTCTGAAGCGACTGAAGTTCAATGCATATTATCGAATTACTTTATTAATATTTTGACGAATATATCTTCAAAGCTATCTTAACTATCTTAAAGTTAATATTAAGACTTAGAACTTTCAGAGGTTTTTTTTATCAATTTGGAATTTGAGCCACTGGGAGCAAGGAAATTCAAAAACATCCATATTAAGGACCACCCTAATATATATATATATATATATATATATATATATATATAACAAATGTATTCTGAGTGGATAGATATTAATTTAGAAATATGAACAAACAACAATCTTTTTTGCACTAATTTATTAAATAATAATTTTACAAACGTTTCGAGACTAGGTTTGTCTCATCAGTGTGTTATAATTTAAAATCTAAAATATGGAAATCTAAATTAGCATTATGTGTTCCTTTCCTTTTACTGCAAAAGGACTTGTAACGGATAACATATAATGCTAATTTAGATTTCCTTGTTTTAGATTTTAAATTATAACACACTGATGATGAGACAAACCTAGTCTCGAAACGTTTGTAAAATTATTATTTAATAAATTAGTGCAAAAAAGAGTATTGTTTGTTCATATTTCTAAATTAATATATATATATATATATATATATATATATATATATATATATATATATATATATATGAGATGTTCAAAAAGTATAAAAAGTATTTTTATTTAATACATAAATAAGGAGCAACTGATGAATTACTATAATTTTAGGCTAAATAATCCACATGTACAAAAGGACCACTTCAGAGAACTAAAAAATATGTATAGGGTGGATTTTATTACTGGATAAAGCTCTTATTATAGATAACTCTTAGAATAACTTCATAAATGTCAAAAATGCAAGCATTTATCAAAATTTATACTGGTACCAGCCATAATACGTTTTATTTTTCGAACCCCTATACTAGCAACATCATAATTTCCCTTGTACAAAATTCTATAATAACTTTCTTTTCTAATAATATCCTTTTGTAAAGACTGAAAAAAAGCTATGATTAAGGAAGCTCAATATATGTTCAAATTTGATGATTATTGATGTTATATTATACATGATACACGATCGAAGAATTTTTTTGAACAAACACTGAAAAATTTGTTTTTATGTTCATTCCATTGAATTCATAACATTCAGATAAAATCAACAAATGTATGATAAATTAAAAAATGCTAAATATCCGAGCAAACCATGTGAAATAATTCTTATGATATAAATTGCTACAAACAAAAAAATTTAGGCCTTACAAAGTATAGATAAATGCCTAGTAGAAAATTTTTAATAGAAATTTAAATAACCTACAATTTATAGTAATATTATAATTTAAATAAATACATTATTATCAATGAGTAGATTAACAAATTAATTACAGTATTAAGGCCTTCGTAGGGAATAACTTATTAGTAATACAAATCACAAACACTCCTTAATATGCATTTGAGTTCACTTAAAGTACATATTTAAGTTTGAACTAAAAAAATAAATCATTATATCCAGTATAAAAATTTTAAATTTAAAGATTATGTGTATATAAGCTCAAACAGTGTAAGAAGAAACATGTTTAGTAAAATATAGAAGTACAAAAAATAAAAAGTAAAGAATAAATTTTATTGTTGCATAAAAAAGAATGAAAATTTGAATGTAACCAAAACCGACTTGGTATAGTGCCAAAATAACATATATAAACACCAGACTCTGGCCCACATAGCGTTCTCACTGTAAAATAGTTTGTCTGATCGAAAAATATCTATATTTATTTCGGTAGTAACGTTCATATTGTCTACAAATGAAATTTTCTCGTCAGATCAAGAATAGTAAATCTCAGATCAAAATTTTTAGAGAAATGGTGATTTGCAAACATAATAATTGAATGAGGATAACTTCTTGGATATGGAACATAATCAGAATGTTACATTCTTAATTCACAATTGATTTATTTTGTTATAAATACTAATTCAAATTCGTAATTTGATTGCATTCGCATGTCAAGCAGTAATGACATGGTTTTTCACTTGGAAATATAGATGGAAATGTTTCTAAAAGAAAATAGCCCTTCACCGGCATTTTTGCTATTTGCAAATTAGAAGTCATCAATATTATGACCTTTTTGTATATAAGATATTTTATATTTTTACAACTGAGTAGATATTTGGTAAATTAGAAATTTTACAATTATCAGTGTACAAAAGATATTGTGCTAAATTCATGCAATGTTGCATACAATTCAATAGTTGATCTTCAATTCGATACGTAAAGTATAACAATATTTTGATAACTATAATATAGAACTAAAACTTATTTTTTTAATTAATAAATAATTAATGCTAGCCTCGATCAAATGGCGACTTTCCAAGCTTCTATAAAAGCTTTCTGCTTGTAAAAAAACCCTAAATATCACACAAAATGTTAAACGACTCAATTTTCAAATATTGCTATGTTATTAAATGACTGTGTTACTACATCACTTTATAATTGTTGTAATTATGTGATTATTTTGTATATAATATAATATTCTGGTACGCTGCAAATTCTTTGAATTACTTCAGTTGTATTTGCAATGATAAGATAATATTACAGACTGAAATACTGAAATATACAGAATTAAATCCTTGTTGTTATTTTAAATTATATTATATATAGTAAAATTTGATTAACCTTTTCAAGAACTCGCACCGCAAAATCCTTTAAATAAATTTGCACTATTTTCACAAACTAAGTAAAATATATTATTAATTCCACTATCACATTGTTTAACAAATCAAGTCACACTAAACATAATTTAATATTGTTACGTCGTATTCTTATATAAGAATGTTGAAATGTAAAAAATTATTCTAGCGCTCATTGGAACAAAAACGCTACTAATAATAATTTAAGGTCGTCACACAACCAGAGGTTTGTAATTTGTATGTGGGCCATAAAAGTTACTTGCTAATTTAAAAATAAAAGATAATGGCCCATTATATATATATATATATATAATATATTATATATATAATATATTATATATATATTATATATATATATATATATATATATATATTATATATATTACTAGATGATGACCCCGAAAACGTTTTTCCATGATTGTAATGTAAAGTATTTTCTAGATTCTAGAAAATTTCTATGGTGCTATATATTGTAAACAAAACAGGAATTTGTGCGAAGAAGATTAAAAATTGGGGCAGTATGTAGTTAACAAAGCAATGAAAAAAAAGTATAAAATATGATCAAAACCCTTATTTTTAGATGATAAAATGACTTACGAAATTGGAGTTCGTAGCAAGAGGGTGAAAATTTAAGGCATATATTTAAGTTTTTTAATTACGAATTATAAAAAAAAATAAAATATGAAAAATTGGTCCAAAAACCGAAAAAAAGTCTTAAGGATATAAAAAATAGATCTTAGCCAATTCTCAATCAAAGTAACCTGGATTATAAAAATTGAATGAAAAAAATGAAATAAGAAAAAATGATCCAAAAATTGAAAACAATCTTAAGAACGGCCCATGCTTAAAACTCAGGGATATAAAAAAATAGATGTTAGGCCGATTCTCAATCAAACTGAACTTGATTATAAAAGTTCATAAAGATCGGTCAAGCCGTTTCGGAGGAGTATTGCAACAAACATCATAACACAAAAATATTATACTTATATTTAGTTTATTTTTATTTTTTATTTTTTTAACAGCGATCAGAAAATTTATACTCATATGGACAAAAAAATATGCAATTTTGTTTTTAAAGTATTATATAGTGTAATTGTAGTTTTTGATTATAAAATACTGTGATTAGCAAAAGATTAAAATTTAAATTGAAGAAAAATATTTACTAATATTTTCTATATCTAAAATATTCTTCTATATTTATATATACAGCGTCAACAAATCGATTATAACGACGCATATA